TCCCCAGCCCCTGGGAACAACCTCCTGCTGATCCCCAGCCATAGGAACCATCTCCTGCTGATCCCCAGCCACAGGGAAGAACCATCTCCTGCTGATCCCCAGCCCCTGGGAACAACCTCCTGCTGATCCCCAGCCATAAGAACCATCTCCTGCTGATCCCCAGCCACAGGGAAGAACCATCGCCTGCTGATCCCCAGCCCCTGGGAACCATCTCCTGCCAATCCCCAGCCAAACGCCGCCGGCAGCTTTGGTGTCACTCAAAGGCCAGGAGGGGTTAACGTGGGGGACAGAAACTGAGACCAGAGAACACAGACAGAGGGACAGTGACCAGAAATGGGGGCCTTGAGCTCATGGCACAGCCATGGAATACACAAGCACTTGGAAGAGGGTCCAATAAACAGCCAGTCCCGTTGCCACGTTCCCCAGCCCGTTCCTGGCCAGTGCTGGCACTGCCCCTGAGGACACAGCCATGGCCTGGGCAGCTCCACAGCCCCCAGGACAGATGTCACCTCTGCAGGGACCCCCTGCTGCAGGGCCAGGGACCTGTCACCAGCTCCAACCTTTTCTCTCCACCATCCTGTTCATCCTGGAGAAGAGAAGGCTCCAGGGAGAGCTGAGAGCCCCTGGCAGGGCCTAAAGGGGCTCCAGGAGAGCTGGAGAGGGACTGGGGACAAGGCATGGAGGGACAGGACACAGGGAATGGCTTTAACTGCCAGAGGGCAGGGTCAGATGGGATATTGGGAAGGAATTGTTGGCTGTGAGGGTGGTGGGGCCCTGGCACAGGTTGCCCAGAGAGGCAGGTGGATGGAAAATTCCTCCATTCCAGAATGAACTTTTGTCTAACCACGTGGAGATTCTCTTCATACAAATGTAAGATAATTTATACCAGAAGGAACTTCTGGTCATCTGGTCTAATCAAGTTGACATTCTAACTTCCCATGGGAAAAACCTGGGGGTTTTTGGAAGGAATGGCAAGAGAATCCCCAATCCCAGTCGTGACTGGTGGCTGCCAACCACCAGCTGGCCCCTCTGTGCTCAGGAAGTTCTGCTCCAGATTGGTTTGCAGAGAAAATCCAAGTCTTTTTTTTGAATGTGACAAGAACTCATTCACTCACCAGCCACTCCAAGAGTTTATTGATAATTACAGCTTTAATCAGCAGTTCTTGCTTGCTTGGGACTGGGATGAAATTCAATTTATTTCACTGAATGCATTTTAAACTCATGATACTATCAGCTGACAACATCACAGATGTACCCAGCTGGGACTCCCCAGCAGATCCAAACCACCACACCTGCATGGAAGGGCAGTTCTTGCCGGATTTCCAACTTGAGTTTGCAACAGGAGACACATTTACAGGCCCGGGATTGCACTGACAGAGCCAAACACAGACTCCAGAGCAGAGAGTTTGACACAGAGGCTCAGATGGGGAGTGTGACCCTCAACTCTTCTTAGGTTTTCTATCTCTGACCACTTCCCAATCCATCTAAGCAGGTCAAGCCAAAGGACAGAGAAACACATGGACACCAAATCACCTTTAAACCTTCAGCACCACAGACATTACCTGCACTTTGCAAAATCCACCTCTTCACTGCTTTCTTTAGAGAGAAACCTTGGTCAAAGGTTGGACTGGATGATCTTGGAGGTCTTTTCCAAACTAAACAAATCTGTGGTTCCAGGAGGGGGAAATACTAAAGTGCAACAAAAGCTTTTACCCAGGAAACTTTCCTGTGTCTGGCACATGGAACATGAGCAGAAATAACAGCTGCTGGTTTTGGGCATGGGTTCTTGGGAATCTCGGAGGGCAGAAGAAATTACCTCCATGTATAGAAGGCAAAATGGGCCCCCAAACAGAGACCCAGCCAGGAACCACCTGGGTAGGGTGGTGGGATGATGCCCCAGCCCTGGAAGTGTCCAAGGCCAGGCTGGACAGGGCTTGGAGCAACCTGGGCTGGTGGGAGGTGTCCCTGTCCATAGCAGGGGCTGGAATGGGATGAGCTTTAAGGTCCTTTCTGACCCCAAACACTCCAAGATTCCATGTCCATCACTTCTACCAGAGCAGCCCTAAAGCTGAACCATAATTTCCTACTAAACCACAAGCCTTGTCCACAGGATTCCTACAGGCTTTAACTGAAGGCACAGCCCACAAAGACCAGACCTTCCAGACCTTCCACCAGGGAATGAAACACTGGGAAGTCAGGGCATTAAACACTGGGATCTCTTCTCCCAGAAGAGATCATCACAATTATTTGAGCAAGAAAACAGCTTGGAAGAGAGGTCACTAAGATCACAGTGCCCCAAAGGGAGGGAGAAGATATAAAAATGAGTAAAAAGGAAAGGTTTTTCTGGGAAGACAGACTGGGCACTCACATCCCAGCAGGGCTGGGGATGCCTGCCTGGAGCTGCTCTGGGGGCATTTGGAACCTGGGAATGAGCTTTCTGCTCTGAAAATACAGAATAAAGTGCTGCTTAAGTAGCTGATCCAGGAGGAAAACTGCAGTGGTGAAAGGAGAGTGTGGGGGAAGAGGAAAAGGAAGCAGGGACACACTTGTCCCCAGGGCTGGGAATGTCTGGCAGTGAAGAGGGAAGGACAGGATGGTGATTCATGAGCAGAAGAACAGTTCACTGATGGAGTTAATCAAGCAAGAAAATATCCCCCACTTTTAAATCCCATTCCTGGGAGCCTGGAAAAAAGGAAAAGCACGTGTGGGCTCATTGGCCACTGAAAGGCTGTCAGGGGTAAGAGTGGCAAAACTGAAGTGGCCTCTAAAACACAGTTCCTTGGAGTGCAGGGGCAGGGAAACGGCACCAGCTGTCCCAAAAACTGTCACCAGAGTGGCCAAAGGCACTTCTGCCACCGAGCACCAGCTCTGGAACAGCCTGTGCCACACCTGGGGGACAAACCCAGGGGAGACAAACCCAGGGGACGCAGCAGGACCGGGAATGTCCAGGCTGGAAAACACCACGAGGGCACCCAGCTGGCACGAGGGTCTCCCCAGCAGCTTCCCAGAGCCTCCTGTGGGAGCATTTCCAGGGGAAACTCCCCCACAGGCACCAAGCAGGTCATGGAAGCACCAAATGAGAAATGTCAGCTGGGAAAGGCAAATGCCAAAGCCCCAGGCAGGAGGGGGGCAGAGGGTGTGCCCAGTGGCTCTGTGGGAAGGGAGGCCTCGTGCAGTGACCACCACAGTGACCACCAGGCTCTGACCACCCTGGAGGGAACCAGCTCCTTAAGGACCCTCATCTGGTTCCCTCCTGCAAAAATCTGAGGGAAAATCAGTCCTGCAAAGGTTCAACCATCTGGGCATGGATTTCCCAGGAAAAATGGCCCACAGCTGTCCCCACAGCCAGGTCCTGAGCAGTGTCACTAACTCCAACCAGACACTCTGGGACATCACTCCTCAGGAACACGGAATATTTCAACACCTATGGAACAAGCTCCCCTGGGCTTAAATACTTCAGTGTCTCTGAAACCACCCAAACTTTGTGTTTCTGAAACTGCCCCTGAGCAAACCCAGCACAGGTTCGAGGCAGCACAGATCTGCCCCCACGGAATGAGCCACCAAACTAAACTCATGCTCTCCCAGGCTTTAGGATCCACAGAGTTAACCTGGTTTTCCTGCCAGACCCTTTCAGGCTCTCACACCCCAAACCAAGTCGCAGACACCACCAGATTAACTTTCTATTTTAACGAGCTCAGCTCTGCAGCCAGAGACACCAGCAGCCTTTAAATTTAGAAATTAATCGCAGCTCAAAGGTTAAGTCCCTGAGTCTTTTCCTGTTTCAAAGTCCTTTTAGTGAAACAAGAAGTGAAATGAGTCTGGCTCCAGCTGGAGCTGTGAGCCAGGGAAGGGCAGCAGGCACTTCCAGGCCATAATGAATTTGAGTTGAAAAATCAAACATCTGCAGTAGGTCAGTGGGATGAGGAGGTGCCTCCACTGCCTGCAGAGGGAATCCAGGGAGCGCTAACTCCTGGGATCCATGGGGAGTTACCTCCTGGGATCCATGGGGAGTTAACTCCTGGGATCCATGGGGAGTTAACTCCTGGGATCCATGGGGAGTTAACTCCTGGGATCCATGGGGAGATAACTCCTGGGATCCATGGGGAATTAACTCCTGGGATCCATGGGGAGATAACTCCTGGGGTCAGTGATGTGAACATCCTCCATTTGGCCACGAACAACCCATAAACCAGGTGAGAAGCAGGTCAGGTGTAGCTGGAGCACTATGGAACGAGACACTCACGCTCATCCTGGCATCCCAAGGGAAAATTAAACAATTCTTCAGCCTGCCTTGTTTCCAGGAGCCCTGAGACTCTGCCACACCTTTGTGCCTCCAACAGAGCATTCTTGAGAGTGACACAACAACATGGTACAAGAGAAGGAGTTAGTAGACAGACAGCTTGCCCAGAGCCCATACTTACATTCCCACCTCCAGGGACATGCTTAATATTGTCCTTGGAACCACACTTGGACTGAACATGGCTGTAGTTCGCTTTTTTGGAGACTATCTGGACCTGGAACGTCACAGAATGGAAAACAACACAAGGGAGAGGACTGGTTAGAGTTGTCATATGGCAGGGGGGGCTCTGACACGGGGAACAGGAGCCCTGGGAACTCAGCCCGACTCAGTGCCAGGGGTGGAAGCGACTGAGGAGAGTGAGAGAAGTGAAGGACAAGAGCCTGCACAGACAGTGTTAGTGCCAGAGCATGAGGTGAAAACGCTGCTCCACGGGCCCCACGGACCCGCCTGCCCCAAGGGATGGGATTGCCCACGTCCCCCCGGAGCTTCCCAGGATATTTCTAGTGGGAGCTTCCCTGGAGCAGGGAGAGCCAGCCCGGCTGCCCGGGAGCCACGGGGCCAGCACTGAATGAACTGCTCAGGGTCTGCTCCTGGGTGGGCTCCAGTCCTGGATAACATCTCTCAAACCCCCAGGCAGTGAAGCCCCATGGGCTGAGAAAGGTTTTCCTGACAAAGGTGGTCAAACCTTGGGTTAAATTACATCAGACCACACGTGAATTAAATTGTTTCTCCTTTAAATTAAAGTGCTTTGGACTTGGGGACGTGGTCAGTGGTGGCCTTGCAGTGCTGGGCCGATGGTTGGACTCGAGCTCAGAGGGCTTTTCCAACTTCAGTGATTGATCCTGTGATTTTTGTAATACAGAAGGAGTAGCTAAGTGAGCTTCACTCACAGAGCAGGAGCTGAGTTAGAGCGACAGGCCCGTGTTTACAAAGGTTAGTTACAACACGTGTTTAGTCTGGGAGTTACTTCCCACAGCACAGAACAGGGCAGAAGCTGTGCCCTGCTTCCCAGAGAGAGGTGATAAACTCAGAGCACAAAAGGAATCCCCAGAGCATTCTCACTTGAGCAGCTTCCCAAAGCTCCTTGGCCATTCAGAAAGGCTGGATTCAGGGCAAGGGCAGCTCTAAAAACTCGTGCCATGGAGTGTGTGACTGACTCCTCCAGAGGTACAAATCCTGGTCATTCCTGAATAGGCTCTGCCTGGTAATACTGGAATTAAACTGCAGCACTCCCACCTCACCCCCCTCCCTCGTGCTGGAACACCGTGTCACGCCAGCTTTGGGCTAACCCATCAAGTGGTGGTGGCCTAATCCATGGAGTTACAGAGTTTGAAAACAACTGGGTCTGGAATATTGCAGGAAAGATGAATTCCTTAATATTCCACCATCTTAAGAGAAGCAGCTCTGAACTAAAACCCTGCCTGGTTACAAACTGGTTCTCCGTAGGAAGAACTGGTTTGAAGTGGCTCAAAGTTAAGCCTGTATCAACCTCAAACTGGAGAGCTCTGCTCTGCAAACATTCCCAGCAGGAGTGGAGAAGGTCCCTCCAGAGAGAGCCCTGAAGGTGCTTCCCTGGGAACATCTCGGGGTGTAGGACAAAGACCGGGAAGAGTGTCCGTGCAAGGAACAGTGACACCGACAGGACAGAGAGAAGAGCTGAAGAGAAGGGAGGGTGACTCCAAATGGAAACGCTTTTTCCTTCATCTCCCCCAAGAGAAAAGCGTGAAAGGAACTCACTTTCCCATTGGGCTGTTTGGGGACCCCCTCTTTTGATACGGCTGTTTTGGGAGGAGCCACTTTAGTGCCCGCGCTGGGCTCGGGCCTGGGCGCGGCGGCGGCTGGGTCGGGCCTTTTCTCTACTTTCCCCTGGATGGAGACAAACGGGTGATTTCAACCAGCAAAAGCAGAAGTGTGGGCAGGGGGTGGGAACAGGAGCTGCCCGGGGAGACCTCACGGAGCGGGTGACCCAGGAGAGCCTCCTGCACACTCCAGTTCCCAGGCAAAGGACAATCCCACACCCAGGATGGGAGGGAAGCAACACCACTCAGGCATGGGGTGGCACAGGCACCCTGTTCTCCATGTCTCAAAAAGCTCCTGGTGCCCCTTCCTTGGGATCGCGTTGGCAGGTTCCAAGTGACCCCGGCACTTACGTCCTGCCAAAAAATCAACCCAGATCTTTTAGGAGCCCAACGGCAGCAGTGCAGGAGCAGCTCCTTCACAGGGAGGACATGATGAAGATCCTGGAGGCAAAGACATCCCTGGATTGCCTCTGCCTTGGAGCTCCTGGAGCTCTGCTGGACACACACATGCTGTGCTTCCAGTTGGGATTCCACCCACACAGACTTGACTCAGTCCTGGAGCCCAGCAGCTGATTTAGTTTTTATCTAAAAAATGCAGGTGGACTAAGTGAGTCCAGCTGAGCAAAAAATGGAAGGAAAAATTAGAGGTTTCATAAAAATTCAGCAACCACCTGGAAATATCCATTCTTTTGCTAATCTAGATCCAGGGAGGTGCAGCAGAACCTGCATTTCTTGGGGGGGGGCTCAGCATGAATTTTGTATTTCACTAACTTACAGACCAGTAAACAAAAAAACCCCTGAGCAATGACAGCATCCTCAGACTCTAAAAACCACCTCAGCATAAATCAGACTATGAAAAGGACAATTTGCTTAAAAATAAAATTGTTTGAATTTAATAATTCTATGAAAATATTCAGAAAATCAAGGACAGTGCAATGGAACGTGAAAATCGAGTCCCTCAAGCTGACCCAGGGAGGGCTGTGCTGTGAGATCACCACCAAGGCAGTCCTGACTGAGGGTAAATCCATGTGGTATCGATGCTGTCTGGGACACACAGCCAGCCCAGGAGTGCCCTTGACTTTCCTGTGCCTGGGAGCACACTGAGGTCCCAGCACGGAACGCGCTCCCCTGGCAGCCCATGGAAGTTCTGTGCAGAGTTATTCAGCACCACAGGCTGCAGCAAAGGGGGTAAATCCCTCTGGGTGGGAATTAAAAGCCCTCTGAGTGCTGTCAACACTTTTGGCCAGGCCAAGATGGGGGTTATACAACAGCTCATCAAGGTTTGATGGTTCTGCAGCCACATTATTTAAACCTCAGAAGAGGCTGCAGGTCTGTCCCCAAACCTTCCTTATTTCCATGGCAGGTATTCTTGGTTTCACCACGTAATTTAGAGCACTAAGAGGCATCGAGAGCCCTGTGTTCTAGCTCTGTACATGCCTCTTCAGCACTGCCCTCTCCTTGTGGCCACCACGGGTGAGCCAAACAGACCCGTTTCATGTTGGCTTTGGGCCTGTTAAACACGGGAAAGGTGCTGTGGAACTTGCTCCTGAATCCAGGTTTCCTTCATCCCAGTGCACTACTCCCCCTTCTGTACCACTCAGCAGACTGGATTCCTCTGTCCCAAGGCCAAGGTTTGGAACACAGACAAGACTGGGGGCGTTCAACACCGAGTTCCTGTGTCAGGACGTACGGCAGGAAAACAGGACCGGGGTCCTGGGTTCCCGCACGTGCCCCAGCAAACCCCGGGTGGCCCTGAGGCGGATTCCTTCTGCACACTCCCACCACCTGGTTAATGCCACCCCAGACCCCAGAGAGGAGCTCTGCAGAGCGCGAGCGAGGAGAGCAGTGAGGGCACAGCCACCGCGGTCAGCGAGGAGCGCCCGGCGCCGCGCGGGGCCACGGCGGGGCCCGGCACTCACCTTCCCCCCGCCGGGCTGGTGCTTGATGTTGTCCGTGGAGCCCACCTTGGAGCGCACGTTCTTCAGGTCGGGGGCGGAGGCGCTGCTGCTGGGCCGGGGCGGCTTGGCCGCGGAGCTGGGCTTGCCGGGGGCCTTGGCGGGGGGTTTTTTAGCGTCCGCGGAGGCGGCGGAGGTCGAGGTGGGTTTGGATGCGGCAGCCTTGGGTTTGGGGCGACTGGTGGCCGCCCCGGGCACGCTGGGAGTGCTGGAGGCCGCGGTGGAAGGAGTGGTGGCGCTGCTCTTGGTGGCATTGCCGGCCGCGCTCTTGGGGCGGCTCGAGTCCGCTGCGGGTGGCACGGGGATGGCGGAGGGAAGGGGGAACACACGGGTCAGAGGCTGCTTGTACCCACCCCCTCGGAGTCACAGCATCCCAGGAGGGCTTGGGTTGGGAGGGACCTCAAAGCCCATCCAGTCCCACCCCCGGCCATGGGCAGGGACACCTTCCAGCGTCCCAGGCTGCTCCAAGCCCCGTCCAACCCGGCCTTGGACACTTCCCAGAGATTTACAGAGACCTCCTTAATCACCCCAGCCCCAAACGAGGGGGTTTGATTTAGACCGAGGAAATGGCTACAAGTTGTGCCAGGGCAGGTTTAGGTTGGACACCAAGAAAAATCCTCCTGGGAAGAGCTGTCCAGCCCTGGCACAGCTGCCCAGGGCAGGGAGGGAGTCCCATCCCTGGAGGGATTTCAAAGCCCTGTGGATGTGGCACCTGGGGACATGGGTGGCCTTGGCAGTGCTGGGGAAATGATCAATGGTCTTAGAGGGTTCTTCCAAGCCTGATGATCCCATAACTCCAGGATTAGAGGGAAACTGAGCATTACCTGATGGAGACTTTGCCAAGGTCTTCTTGGCCTCCGCCGGCTTCCCGTCGGTTTTGATTGCTGCCAACACAGAACACAGTGGTCAGGATTTCAGGGCAGGATCCAGATGAAGTCTGGAATCATCCCAAAAATTAACTGCCCTGTTTGAACACCTGCCTGGCTTCCTCCTCCTGACAGCAGAACCCACTTGGATATTCTGGCCAAAGGATCAATTAATGTAAAAGGACCATCATTCCAAGATGGAACACACCTGGGGAATGGGTTACATTTTGTTTTTTCTTAAAATAACTCTCTCAATCTGACAGCACTCACTGAGGTTATTTTAATCCTGCCCCACCTTTATTTCTTAAAAAAAAAACCCCAAACAAACAAAAAAACCTGCCAGAACACATTTCCTTTCTTTACTCAACAGCAAAAGCAACCCCACATTTGTCCTTCTCTAACCTTGCTCTCATTGCCAGACCAGACCTACCCTGTGCCAATTTTCTTGCACAGAAGTTATTGCACGTATTTTGGTCCCTATTTTAATTGTATAAACCCAAAAATCAATCCCTAAACTGAGCCAGGCCTTAGGGCAAAGCCCAACGATCATGACCTGATTACAGAGCACAGCCTAAACCAGGAATTCATCCCTATTTCCCCAAGCAGAAGAAAACCAACCACAAAACTGATCAAGGCAAAAATCACGGACTGAAAAATGGAAACAGAACTTTATTTTAAGGAGCTCTTTGATCATGAAATTGTAGGTTTTTCACTATCAGCGATGAGCAAGTTTGGGTAAAATCGGGTTTGTTCCAATAGCCAAAGGAAGGCAACATTGAAAAGAAACAACAAATGGAAAAAAATCATAGTTAGAAATGATGAAAGCCCTCATTTTTTAGTATTTAATTTCCATTAAGTCTCATATTTTTAGATAAACTCCAGCAGCTGGCAGGGTATTTATGGAATATCAATATGGAAAAGACCAAGGGGAAGAGGCAGATAACTACAGGCCGAGTTAGTCCGGATCATTCCACCCTGACTTTGCTAAAAGCACTCAATTAAACCTCCCAGATAAGATTCCAGCTAATGAAGTGAAACCCATTTGGATAATTTAATAAGGCCTAAAGGAGAGATATATAATTAATACCAAACACTTCAAAAAAGGGCCTGTCAAACCAACCTAATTTCATTCCTCAAGACCACAGCTTCAGTTGGGGAAACTGTATGGACAGAACAGACTCAGCTTTATATAAAAGGCAGAGGATGAATATGTTTAATACAGAGAGAGATGTTATTTCTGCTTGTGTCAGTGGGGACACAAGTGCTGGAACCCTCCTGTCTGTGTGATATGAGATGGTGAAAACCTGGAGAGTGACAAAGCTCATGGTCTATAATGACAGGCAATAATGACAGGCAAAGACTCTGATCTTTGCCTGATGGGAAGGACAGAGCATGGTCTTGTACAAACATAAAAGTCATTTCCACAGGGAGGGGAACAAAAACCAAAAACAAAGCTAAAAATTAAAAATCAAAATCTCCAGCCTCACGTGGCTCCCCTTCAGTGGAGGAAGTGAACTGACATTTCATACCCGAAAAACTGAAACCACAGAATGTCAAACCCATCCTTACACACAGCCCTGAACAACAACTAAACCTGAGAGAATCACAAGGCAGTGTCTGCCTTCTGACTCAGGAGAAGCAAGAGCAGATGTCCTGCTGAAAGAGCATCTTCAGCCAGAAACAGCACTTTTAGCCACAAACTTACTCCCTGTCTCAGTGCTGTGCCATGAGAAGCTAAATTCATGGAATCACTGAGGTTGGAAAGGATCTTTGAGGTCATGGAGTCCAACCATTCCCCAGCACTGCCAAGGCCATCACTGACCATGTCCCCCCGTGTCACATCCACAGGGCCTTGAAATCCCTCCAGGGATGGGGACTCCACCCCTGCCACTGATGGACAGCCCTTCCCAGGAGGAATTTCCCCAGTATCCAACCTGACCCTCCCCTGGCACGGCTTGAGGCCATTTCCCCTTGTGCTGTCCCTTGTTCCCTGGGAGCAGAGCCCGACCCCCTGGGCTCCCCCCTCCTCTAAAGGAGTTGATCAGAACTGGGATCAGAAGAGCTCCAGGTCTCCCACATCCCCATCTCTTCCTGCAGCTGCTCCACCCCAACCCAGCCGTGGTGTTCGACCCGCTGTGGTTCCCTCCAGCCTGTCACACCCCTCTGTCACCTCACCCAACACAGGACCCCCCTCTTCTTCCACCACTCCTGACTCCCCCGTGCGTCCCCAGCCCCACACAAGGCAGCTCTGCCTCCCCCTGGAGCTCCTCCAGCTGACCTCATCTCTCCCTCGCCCACCCAGTTCTCCCTGTGCTTTGGCACCGTCCCACCGCCCTCGCCGGTGCCGGAGCCTCTTCCTCTGCACATCCTGCCTCTTGGAACAACCCTCCTGCAGCTCTGCATCGCTGGCTCCGTCTCCTTTCAGATGGCACCAGCGAACGCCCCTTTGTCTGGGTCTCAGTTTTGGAAGGAGGAATGAACTGAACTCATTAGAACGGAGTCCTCGTTCCCGGGCCCCGGTTTTTGCCTCAAAGACCACACAAAATGAATTTTACAAGGATGGCCACGGGATCAGATGGGATACATGGCTCTTGGAAGGTTCAACACTTCCTCTACGCTTGATTAATTATATTTTCCCCCAGAGCATGAAGTCTGGGATGGCCAGCAAGCCTAATAAACCTCAAACAGCTCAAACATTACTATTTCTTTGGGAACGTTGGGTTGCGAATCCAAGCTCTGGGATTCACAGCCCCAACCAACCAACACGGATCATTTTACACATTTATTGGCAAATTTTGCCACTGGGGTCCAGTAATTTAAAAAGACTTGAGATCATTTAACTCAAATTTTATCTGACGTTGAATCTCCTGAGCTCCATTAAAACGAGTGAGAACGTGTTTCCAAGAGCCTGGAACGCTGCTCGTGTTTCACGTTGAACCCGTGGGAAGGTCCCTCTTCAGCAGCAGCAGGAGTGGGACACAGCCTTTGGATGGAGCTGATGTGATCTCAGCTCCAAATTCTTCCTGCACTGGTAAAAAGCCCTCAACTTCTGCTGAACCCTTTTTGGTTTTCAGAGGCACCAGTTTGGGTGTTTCAAGTTCTCTCCTGGAGATTTCCTTTCCCAAGTTTTATTTGCTTTTAGTGTTTATTCTGTGGCAAATGCAGAGGGAACAGCATCCCTTAAATCAAGTGTGTTCACTAACTGCATTAACCCTGGATCACACAGGGCTCATCCAAGCTGGCCTTGAGGGCCACTTGGATTTGGGTTTGGAACAGGAAGCCCTGGAGAGGAAAAAGTCTGAGCTACAGCCAGAGCCCAGAGAAGGCCCTGGAGACGCTCCCAGGGCTGGAGCCCCTCTGCTCTGGAGCCAGGCTGGGAGAGCTGGGGGGGTTCCCCTGGAGAAGAGAAGGCTCCAGGGAGAGCTGAGGCCTAAAGGGGCTCCAGGAGAGCTGGGCAGCCCTTTCCCACAAAGAAATTTTCCAATATCCAGCCTGACCCTCCCCTGGCACAGCTGGAGGCCGTTCCCTCCCATCCTGCCCCTTGTTCCCTGGGAGCAGAGCCCGACTCCCCCCGGCTCCCCCCTGCTGTCAGGGAGTTGTGGGGAGCAAATGGTGCCCCTCAGGCTTGCAGCCCTTGGGAGGGGACATCTCGGGCAGGAGTTCAGGACAGGGGACACTCACACGACGGCCTCTTGGGGGTCGCGGCCGAGGTGGTTTTGGCAGCCGGAGCTGCCGTGACCGGAGACGCCGCCGTGGTCTTGGGAGCAGCTGGGGAGCTCTTGAGAGGAGTCTTGGGAGTGGTGGAGGATGGAGGCTTGGAGAGGGAGCTCCTCTTCTCCGTGGGCTTCGCATCCGCAACCTGCAAGCCGGGAGGAGCCGTCAGAGCCGGTGCTGCACCAGCACTGCCAGGGCAGGGAAAGCGCCACAGAAAAGGCTGAAATAAACTGAAATCCTTTACAGTCTTAAGCACTTAAGCTTGGCACGGCTGAGAGGTTATAATGCAAATTAAAATATAATTAAGATGAGCAGAAGTGACTGTGTTGAGTGGAGAACACGGAGCACAGACCCCGTGGAGGAGCAGATTCCACCCGGGGCTGGTCCAGCACTGACGGCTGTGAAGGAGGTTTGGATTTCTGGACAAAATGGAACATATCTGTCCACTATCAACACTCCTGGGAGAGATCCCTGCCCTCCATGAGCAGGAATGCTTCCTGAGCTAAGCTGGAGTTTATTGAAACACTGGGGACATGAGAATTGGGTGTCTGTGGCTCATCCCTCACTTGGAAAACTGTCCCTGGTTTCCTCCCTCTCCCTGGTAAGTTTGGCAACTGCCTTGTGTCTGAAGTATGAAAATACTGAATTAATGTGAGCAAACAAGTCAGATGAGAGTCTGATTTTATCAAAAAGGGATTCAGAATGATGGGAAAACTTGAGCCAAACCAAAGATGCTGGCTCAGAGAAAAGCACAGATTTACACCTGGGCTTTCATACCCTCCCTGCTAACTTTACTTAGTTCTAAAAGACACTCAAATGCAGCTATTTAAGCTTAATATGGCAGAAATGGTGGCATTTAGCCATCAGTGAAGCTTCTGAAATTGATTTTAACATTCCCTTTTAAACCTGAATTCTTCTCTATAAGATCACAAGTTAACACAGGGAAGATTCAAGGGACACCTCCCATTCCTAACACATGGATTTCCTATTTCAGCTGGAAGATGAACACTAAGAACTGCCCATGAATCTTCTGTTCTTGGGGAATCACCGATCCCCAGCATTTCCTCAGCACAGAAGTGTTATCAGTTTTCTTTGTGCAGCTCTTCCAGTGACCAGGCATCACACGGAGACACCCAGTGGGAAACACTGGAGTGCTCAAATGGATTTGTTTCCCCTTGATATGAATATCAAAGGTCTCCAATCAGTTTTCTCATGTTCTTGTCTGGATTTAAGAGTTTTATTGAGAAGAAAGTCTTCCCTGTGAGGGTGGGCAGGCCCTGGCACAGGTTGCCCAGAGAAGCTGTGGATGCCCCATCCCTGGAAGTGCCCAAGGCCAGGTTGGACGGGGCTTGGAGCAACCTGGGCTGGTGGGAGGTGTCCCTGCCCAGGGCAGGGGGTGGAATGGATGATCTTTAAGGTCCCTTCCCACCCAAACCATCCTGGGATTCTGTGATTCATGGCAGTTCACCAGTCAAGTTTAATTGGCCTCTGTGATGCCACAGCTCAGTGCCTGGGACCTGATGCCATCCATGGGTTAATGGAAGCTGCTCCCAAGAACCCTGCAGCTCCTCACACACTGAATGACCATCCTGACCTTATCCTCCCCTGACTGGCACGGGAATTCTGCTCTGACTGCTGGGGAGAGCTGGTCATTTCCCACGTCCACGAGCCCTGGGAGCTCCCCCAGCAGAGCAGGTCGGTTCTTACCTTTGGTTTAGTCTCTTTTGCAGCTAAGGAGGAGGGACGGGTGGTGCTGGTGCCGGGGCGTTTGGCAGTGCTGGCTGCAGGACCTGCAGTCGGGCTCGTGGCTTTTTTGTTTGGGCCTGAGGTGGCCGAGCCCGGGCGCTTGGGGCTGGTGGTGGCCGAGGGCTTGGCCTTCGCTGCTGCCGGCTTTGGAGAGGAGGTGGATGCAGAGGGCTTTGGGTGGGGCCAGAAAGCAAAATCCGGGGTAAAAACCGAAGGAATACAACAAAAAAAAGCGCATTGTGAACCAAAACATCGAGCTGCGAGAACATAAAGGTGGTGTTTCAAAGGAAACAAACGATAACGACAATCAGCTTTCTGTTTTCTGAGCGCAGCAAAGAGCCGAGCGCAGCGGGGCCTCGGGGCAGGGGGGGTCCTGCCAGCCAACCCCAAACCAGCAGGATTTATTCCAGCAGCATCAGAAGCAACAGAAGGAATGGCTGGTAAAGCTGGGATTAGTAATTGGGTGTTCCTGGCCTCCAGTCCTACGTGCAGGACTCAGGGCACGGCTTTCCAATTACGGGCACACACGGATTGCGGGCCCTAAATCCTCATCCCATCAACCCCCGCGGCCACACGGCCCCTGCCCCAGAGGGGACAGAGAGCTCCCGGCCCCCCCACCCCTCTGGGAATTTGGGGGTGCATTTTGAAGCTCCTGGGAGCAGAGCTCTCTGCAACAAGAGAGCCCCAGATCCCAGCAGTGCCCACTGCAATGCAAATAAAGGTGTCGTAAACAACTCGGGAGTGTCTGTGCAGCAGGAGTTCATCCTCCGTGTTTGCTACTCCTACCCCAACCCCAGAGTGCAAGGGAATAAACCTTTCCACACATTTATCAAAGGCACTTTCAGCCACGTGGCTGAGCTGTTTGTGACTCTGGGGCTGGCTGGGTTTGGTCTGGAAAAAGGGTTCCCAAGCGGAGCTCAGAAAACAGAACCTGGGTTGGCACAGCTGAGGAAGCAGAAAAGCTGGCAAATGAAACCCATGGAAGTGGAGACACTGAACGTGGAATGGTCCTACCTTGGTCTTCTTCTCCGGGCTGGGAGGAAGCTCCTTGTTGGGAGGAGCTGTGATGTCATTCCCTGTCACAGCTTCCGCTGGTTTGGGCTCCTCTGCTTTCACTGCAGGGGAAGGAAGGGACACTTTGTAAGTTTGAGCTTTTTTTTAATAACATATATCTGTTTTTTTAGTTTACTATGATTCGACACAGCAGCAGGTGGAGAGAGAAGTGTGACAGCTACAGGTTGGTATTTCAGGGAAATTTCCCCAAGCCCAGAATTCCTGTAGGAAGAAAAGATCTTCCCTGTAATGGGACAGGTTCATCCACATGCCATTAGTATCCAATTTCTCCTGTTATTCCAGTGGGAAAAGCCGGACAGCAGATGAAGGAAACCTGTGGTTTAATTCAAATAGCAAATCTCCCCACCTTTCAAACTATTAAAATTAATTCTTGCAATGTTAATGGTGAAGTTCTGACCTCTTCCAGGTTTTACACTACGACTTATCCCAAAGGGGGGTTCTGTTTCCAACTACCCCTGTTGTTAGGGCTGCTTCTTCTGGAACTTTCTCCTGCCCTCCATGAGCAGGGAGGATTCCTGGCAGCCGAAGGGAGACGGACTGACAACAGGAAAGGTCACACAGGGAAATGGGAAATGGGAAAGGGAGTCCAGCTCTGGGGAACAACAGCAGGAGGCCCCAGAGATGCTCCAGGGCTGGAGCCCCTCTGCTCTGGAGCCAGGCTGGGAGAGCTGGGGGGGTTCCCCTGGAGAAGAGAAGGCTCCAGGGAGAGCTGAGAGCCCCTGGCAGGGCCTAAAGGGGCTCCAGGAGAGCTGGAGAGGGACTGGGGACAAGGGATGGAGGGACAGGACACAGGGAATGGCTTTAACTGCCAGAGGGCAGGGAGAGATGGATATTGGGAAGGAATTCCTGAGTGTGAGGGTGGGGAGGCCCTGGCACAGGTTGCCCAGAGAAGCTGTGGCTGCCCCTGGATCCCTGGAAGTGTATTCCAGGACTTCCAGGGAAGCAGGAACACGGAGCTCCCAGTCCAACACACGTGGATCCCACTGACCCTTGTTAGTGTGGAAACCCCTGTCCCAGATTCCCTATAAATGGCTTTAACCCCCAGTTCCCAGTGGTGTTGCTGAGCAGCTGCACTGCTCTGGGCTCCCTTCCCCTGCAATTCCAGGGGCATTGGGATTTTAGGAAGGCGCAAACAACCCATCCCAAATTCCTGCACACCCCCCCCATCATCTGGGGATTAAATCCAAGTGTTATCTGTGCTGGATGGGGCTTTTTATAACCACCCAACAGACTGTGACACACTGAGGGCCCACCAGAGCACACAGTGACAACTCCAACAGTAAACAAGTTGTTTTCCAGATCTTTCCGAAATTACTATTTATATTTCACATTTTCTTGCTTGTCAGTCTTGACAGGGGTATCTCAATTCTGGTACCAACCAGCAAATAAAATCAAGCTGTCCCTTCCACCCACCCCAGCAGGATGGGCTGGCTGTTGTTATTATTTATTTCCCTGACTCCAGGAGAAGTTCAGGAGCCTTTTTTCCCTTCCATTGCATCAGCCTCTTCCTATCCATTTATCTTCTAAGTTTTGCAGTGCTGGGTTGAGCATCCTGGACACACAAAAAAGGCTTGGGAAGGAAAAAAAAAAAGGAGCAAAATGTATGGCCTGGACATGTGTTTGATTCAAAACACATATATTTATATATTTACAGACATACAAACTATATATATATATATTTATATATATTCAAATTCTGAAGAATTATCCATGTTCACCTGGAAAACCCCTTGTTTTTGGAGCTAACCTGTCCTGGCTCCTCTCTGCTTGGTTTCTCCCCTGCATTTCAATAACCCTTCATGTTCTCCCCCATTTCACCTGTCAGCTCCACCCACAGCAGGGCCAGGAGGAGCAGTTGTTGTCAGTGGTTCTCAACAACAACCTCCCGTCCATTCCCCTCTCCCTGCTCCCAGGAATTGCTCCACTGGAATCCTGCCAGCCTCAAACATCCCCGACATCAAGGTGCCTTTCCCTCTGCTGGAATTTACCTTTCAGGTACTGCCTGTCATTAATTATTTCAGCTAATTCAGCAGCAACACTAAACCTCCTGCTGATGATAAAGCACAGCACCCACACCACGAATTCACTGGCTCAGGGAATGCTCCTCAAAACCCTCAGCTTCCAAAGGTTCAGGATTTAAACTTCCACACTTTCTGAGCCAATCTGAATTTCACGGGATTTCATGTTAATAGAAAGTGAATTAGAAAAAGGGCAGGCCAAGGGGGAATGGCTTCCCACTGCCAGAGGGCAGGGATAGGTGGGATATTGGGAAGGAATCGTTGGCTGGGAGGGTGGGGAGGCCCTGGCACAGGTTGCCCAGAGAAGCTGTGGCTGCCCCATCCCTGGAAGTGTCCAAGGCCAGGTTGGACGGGGCTTGGAGCAACCTGGGCTGGCAGGGGGTGGAATGAGATGATCTTTAAGGTCCCTTCCCAAACCCAAGCCATTCTGGGACTTTATGAACCTAGATGATGATGATGATGATGATGATGATGATGATGATAACAATAATAAATCCAGGGGAGCAGGGTAGGGAACTTCCCTCCTTCAGGAGCCGTAATTTAGGCTCCTTCTCTCACAGCCTCTGACACTCCAGGGTACACAACCGTGTACAATTCCCCAGGGATTACAGAAGGGTAGTTCTGGGGTTTGATAGTCATTTGCCTCAATTTAAGTCCCAACCCAATGTGCTCATCAGGACATTTGCTTTCATTCATGGTTTAATTACGAGGGTGTTCGCGGAGCAGAGAACTGGGACCATTTCCTAGTTACAGGGAATACTGGGAAGGGCTGCCAAACCTTAATCAAATTTGTTCATTAGTCTGAAAGAATAATTTAAGAGACTTTTCAGTTTGCTTGTTCCCCCAAGCTTGGCAACAACCCCCTGAGAGATATTTCAAAGGCATTTTGTTGGGAGCTGTAGCAGGGGCCGGGCTCCTCCTGCTCCTCCTGGTGTTCGGTGAGGGGGAAAATTCAGCTGAGCTGAGTCAGCACCTGGAATTGAATTACTCCTGAGGGAAAGGGGCTTGAAGGAGACAGGGAAGGACATTCCCATCTGGATCTTCCAGGCTGACTCCAAGGCATAACCCTGTCACCAGGTACTTTCCCCTGCTGTTACTGCAAGCGGCACCGCGCCGTTGGCACACCCATCCCCATCCCAATTCCTCCCCATTCCCTACTCTCTAAACATGATTTTAATGGTGAAAATACAACTTTTTGGGGTGTCTCAGCTCACAGTTCCACGAGGCACCTCTGCTTCACAATTTCTAAGAGCAACACTGGAGGAAATGATTTGTGTCATTGGTGGGGCCCTGGCACAGGTTGCCCAGAGAAGCTGTGGCTGCCCCTGGATCCCTGCAAGTGCCCAAGGTTGGACGGGGCTTGGAGCAACCTGGGAGAGTGGAAGGTGTCCCTGCCTGTAGCAGCAGGTGGAACTGGATGGGTTTTAAGGTCCCTTCCAACCCAAACCAGGCTGGAATTCTATATGGAAGTGCACCAGAGAGAACAAAGAGGCCGGTTCTGAGAAAATGCCCAAAGACACCTGTCCTGCCCATCCAAGATAATTGGTGCTTTCCGTGTTTTCCTTGGCAAAGTTTCTGCAGGAGGAGTTTGGCACTGGTGGGCACAAGCCTTGCTGTCACACCAGATCCTTCTCTTCTAAAACTTTGCTCAAATTCAGCAACACTCCCTGGGAAGATCCCACCCCAGAGCTGGACCCTCTTGCTGGTTGAACCTCCGCCTTGGCCACGCTCCCCGGTCCAGCTCCTGGTGCTTCCCAGGCTGCACTCACACCATCCCCAGCCTCCAGCCAGCTCTTCCAGGTTCCTCTGGGGACAGAGCTGAGCAAACCAAGACCTGCAGGAAGTTGTAGGCAGCAGAAACCAGGTTCCTCCCCTGCAGCAGCCGCGATGGAACGCTCACGGCCAAGGTTGGCCACCCCAGCCCTGCCCAACCCTCCCTGAGCTGTAGGATCACACAGCCAGAAAGGAGCCAAAGCACCAAAAACTTCACCTGGCAAAGGCCCAATAGAGCCAGCGAGCTAAAAAGCCTAATTTCAAAATGAATTTGTCACCAGAAAGCAGATATTTGCCGTTGCTGGATGAAGAACCCAGCAAACAAGACCATGTGGGTTTTGGCTCAAACCGGAGTCAGAGAGAGCAAGACTCAGAACAAATAAGCAGTGGTGATTTTTCAGAATAAATAGTAAAAATGGGATGATCTGTGCTAAAACTACGCTCGGAGAAATAAGATTTAGCTCCTTCTGACAAAAGGGAACAACAGCCTTCCTACAGATCTGAAAAATGATGGAAAATAGAACTCTGACGTTTGTCTTGTTCGAGCAGAGGGAGCCATAAAAAACCCACTAATGAGGAAATTTGTAATTCTGCCTCCAAGAGCCAAGTTCCAATAAACACTGTGACGCACACGAAGCATGTGGAGCAGGGACAGGCTCCAGAGAGGCAACTCAGCCCCATTTGGGGGCATCAGCAGCCACCTGTAACGAGAACTCCGGTGTCTGAGGAGACCCTTAACAGGTTTTATCCTTCAGTTCTTACTTCTCTAAACGCTGCCACTCTCTAGGTGGCTCCTCCCAGCAGGTGAGGTTCCTTTAGAAGAAATACAACATGAAATGAAGCAATTAAAGTGGGTGATGTGGAGGTTTTAAGGATATAATTTTCCCCCAAAAGACCAGAGAGAAGAACAGCTACTTTATCAACTGCAGGGAAGCCCAAAGGGTTCCTCCAAGGCTCAGCATTAAACAGACTCTCTATTATTTCCTTAAAGCTTCCCTGTTTGGAAGTGAGCCTCTCCAAAGTTTCCTGTTCAGCACCAACACTGCTCAAAAGAGCAACATCCCAGGAGGCTTCGAGCACATCCTGGAGTCAAGCACAGAACTGTGGAGGTGGGAAAGTCCTCTCAGACCATGGAGTCCAACCATCCCCCAGCACTGCCAAGGCCACCACTGACCATGTCCCCATGTGTCACACCCACAGGGCTTTGAAATCCCTCCAGGGATGGGGATTCCACCCCTGCCCTGCCCCAT